ACCTGATAAAACATATTTATAACTATTTCTTTAACAAAAAGTATTCATTATAGTTTTATTTTAAAAAGGTTATTACCTGTATGTTTATTGACTTGTACATATAAACAGTAAATGACACAAATTGAGCTGTCATGTCAATTATCAAGAAACAAACTTGGGGCCTCTATGTTATCAAATATTTTATGGTGTCACAGCTTTAAAATGTGATATTTATATTTTGTTAGTTAGACTTGAGAATACTAAACCAAAACCTGCAGATATCAACAGGAAATCACTGATCAAGTTGGGTCACCTGTATGTAAAGCACTAAACAGTTAATTTCAAAGTATTTAGCTGTGTAATTATGATTTTTTTCATATATTCATAGGGTTAAAAACATTTTCAGAATTGATAACTGTGTGTTTTTAGGAAAATGAATAATGCTCCATTTGACTCATATAAATTATTCAATACATTTTGGAAACACACATATTTCCTATAATAGAAAATATGAATAGAAAAAAATTGCCAGGTGAGGTGATTCCAACATATCATATTTCATCATGTCAACATGAAATAAAAGTTAAATGCTTGCAGAATTCAATATTAGGTTTACTATTTTTTTCTAATATTTTGTCTGGCCCATGTGTTTNTTAATTTATTCAAATCCTTTGAGTCAACAGTCTTTTGTAAATTAATTAATTGTTTAATTATTTATTGTTACTCTTTTGAAAATCTAATGAAATGGCCTGAAATACACAATTCTGTTTCCAAATTCAGGGCTTTATAGATCATCTGAGGCCATCCAATAATCTCAGATAAAGAATAACTGAATTAGAGTATTCATGTATATTACCATAAACAAACATGGAATAATTTCTTAGTAGACTTATGCATTTTTTGTGGTAGAAATTAATAGAAGTTGGTAGAAATTTCCAGCCTCACTGTTCATACACATGCTATTAGAAACTTTGAATCAAGTCACTTATAACACGATATGTGACTTCTAAAATAACTTATTGATAGTAAATGACAGTAGTTATTATATATTATGTATATGTTAATACTGTTTATTCTTCAACAAGAATATATTTTTAACTTTATATATCTTCAATTCAAAATCACCTGATAAAACATATTTATAACTATTTCTTTAACAAAAAGTATTCATTATAGTTTTATTTAAAAAAGGTTATTACCTGTATGTTTATTGACTTGTACATATAAACAGTAAATAACACAAATTGATCTGTCATGTCAATTATCAAGAAACAAACTTGGGGCCTCTATGTTATCAAATATTTTATGGT